TTATGATTTCCTGAACTCAGCTTAAGAAGCAATGACAACTGGCTGCTTCAATCAGCAGTTGGCTTCTGTGCTACCAGAAGCCAGATGTGCTGGCATGTTTTGATGAGCCTAGAACAGGTAGTAATGATTCAAGTTCTGAGGTGGTAGTCATGATAAAACCAACCAACCAACCGACCAACCCACCCTGAAAAGAAGGGTGACTTATTGAAAGGATATCCTTTCAGTGAGTGTCATCTGCTCTATGAGCATGTGCTTACATGACTAAAGTCTTCCTTTAACTTGCGCCTTTAACTTCAGCATTGAACCCTGAAAGATGTACGGCATGTCAGGTGAATAATAAAGTTTTGTTGCATATGTAATGACATTTTGAACTTCTCCCTTACTACAGATGACGAGGATGGTATGGACTGCATGGACAATGAGAGGCGGCCGCATTTCCCCCAATTTTCCTACTCTGCAAGTGGACGAGAATAACTTTTTTGTTCTGCTGCTTCACTGTCATCTTAGGTTTATCACTGAAAATGATTCCTGAACATCACCACCAGTACTAGATACTATTTAAGATAGCGGGGGCACTTTCAGAGACCGTTCCAAATTGAACAAGTTTCTTTTCAAAACCTACCTAAAATCCATTTTGGTTTGCATGAAATACGAGGTTTTCTCTACTACGCTCTCCTGCTGTTGCTGCTGCCCACAGTCTCAGTGTAATAGCAACGTCAAGAAGTTACTAACAGTTTCTTTGAAGGTAGATGACTTGACTTCAGCATTGTACACTTTGTGCACAAGTAGTCATCTATTTTTCCTCACAGTGGAGGCTAAACAAAAAAATTGTTGGTCCAGCTTATCTTCTTCCAGAAGATGAATCAAAATTGTAATTAGTCTAAAAAGACTAGTCTATAACATTTTCTTGCATCTGTTTGTGCTGGTTAGAACAAGGAAACGTAGGGGTGGTGATGTACATATGCAAGGTTTTTGTTAGGCATATCATTACTTGAAGCAGGTCTCTGTCATTAACATCTGGCTGGAATTTGTTTGGGAAATGTTTGAGAGAAGGACTTAAACTGTTGATATATATAAATATATATATATATTATTTTTTAATTACTGTTGGATACTACAGAAGAAGCAGAAGGGCTGGGCTCACCCAGCCTGCCACTTAGAACTTCCAGGTTCATGTGCAATCATGGAGAATTGAACATTATACATGCAAGAAATGAAGGCATAAAAGCAGCAGTTGAGGTTGTTTAAGGGGTCTTATAATTTGCACCAGATAACATCTTTCTCATGCTTTTCTTTTTCTTTCATGATATACATCACCTCTGATGGCTGAAGAATGTAGACAGGCATAATGGTATTGCTTCTCACCAAAATGTGTGCACCAAGGTAAACAGGTGTTTGCCTTACTCGTTTTTATTTTGAGTTTGTGAATTAGCTTTTTCTCCAGGTGTTTAACTCTGAATATTCTTTTTTTTTTTTTTTTTTGGTTATACTGCAGTAGTATTTATTTTTAGAGATAAGGATTGTATGTGTCATGTTTGCAAATGCTGCTACATCTTAGATAGAACAGGCTTATAGCAGTTAATTTTGTAATATATGGAAGGACTGTACAAGCTGAAGGGAATAATGCACTTTTCTCCCATGTGGAAATTTTAACAAGGCTCTGAAATTGTACATACTGCTTAGAATCAGATTTTTGTGAATGAAATACTGTCTTTTAATTGTTTGGCAACGGAGGTGAGGAATTCCAACTTCATGTGCCAGAGGGTTAAAAACAGACAAAAAAGCTACATCTTGTGCTCCATTGAGGATAAACGTAATGTAAGAGCCTGACAGCACAATAGAAAATTTCTGTTCTAGATGAAGGAATTGCATTTGAACAACGAGACCACAGTGATTACAAGAAAAGCACTTTATTTTAATAATTAAAATAGTAAATTTCTGGGATCAGCCATTCTCCAGCAAAAAAGTCCCGAAACCCAGCGTGTTACGTGTAACCGTGGTACCTGATTGACCGAACTTAACTCAAAACATCACGAGAAATGCTCCACTGATAGGAAAATGTCTTTCCATTTCCGAAGATCTGTATCTAACAGAACATGTGCATAAACTTTAGCTTTGATCTTCAGCAGTGATAATCTTAATAATAAACCCTTTGGTGCTAGGAGTCGGGGCATCGCGCAGTGCAGCGGTAGCGTGCACGTGCCCTTGCTAACGGCATCTGAAAACCCCGACTCCATGGGATTATCACGCGAAGTGTCTCTGCGTTCGGATCTTGTTAGCTCCCACGAAGACTGTGATGTCGCAGAGTATTCCTGGTTGTGCTGTGTGAATGAGTAGATGAGTCTGAAAGGCGAGATGTTCCTACGCAGATGCCTTAGCCTCTTGATGTGGCAGGTGGAGTGCCCTAGCATGAAGCCCACTGCTGGCAGTGCACGTGCTGGGACGGTCAAGGGGTAGGGGGGCATTTTAGCAAGGCAGCTAAAGACGCAGACTAATTTAGACAATTTTTCATGTTTCGTGTTTTATCTTTAGTAACGGGTGGATAATCAGTCAGAAATATGTCATGATGTGAATTCTAACTGCATAGGATCTCCTTCTGTCACCTTGTAACACTAAACACGTGTAGAGATTATCCCTCTACAGAGAGAGAGAGAGGCGCACAGCAGATGCGTTGCAGGTCTCTTCCACACCGGTAGCATAGAGGTGTCTACACTGACACGGTGAGTGAGTGAGTGAGTGACTGAAATAACAGAGTACTTAATAGACGGGCATTAATTAGTTCTCTGCAAAGGCCTCATACTTACTAAAACTACGGTGACTCAAAATCTGTGTTATATGCCTGTGTTTTTTCCCCTGTGTTTTCAGCTTGTAATAGCAATAAGTTTCTTGACCCAGGGCACCTCTAGCTAATGACCAACTGGTGCCGTGCCTCTGGCCAGCCGTTCCTTGTGTGCGGAAGAAACCCTGTGGTTCGCTCACCATCGCGTAGCTAGTTAGTGTGCGGTTTGCAGCAAATATCTGTCAGTGAATTATCTGATAACCTTTTAAGACTTCACTTTACGTTGTATCGTCTGCCTTCCAAAACATCATAGATCAGGTCTGTGCTACAGAAAGACCCAGCAGCCACTTGGTGCTGCCCGGGGTTGGGGGATTCTCTCTCTTACCAGTGTTAGAAACGGATGAAAGACAAAATGGGCAAGCGGTGCCAAGGGAAACTTTTGAAGCTCTTCTTTTGCTGTTCGCAGTTGTGGTCGGGTTTGGACAGGAGGTGGTGGCTGGTTACCCTGGCGAGCCTTTCGAGCACAGTACATTTCAGACTTTGGCTCCAGCTTGTACTGACTTCCATGACATACAGTATGCCCTCTTGTACTGCAGCCATCTCGGAGGAAATAGGTCATTTCTGTTTGGATTTTGGCAGTTTTGCACACAGCTTCGCTTTCCACACTAATCCATCTTCCAGTACATTCCTGTTGCTTAAAGAACATTTATTCCAGTATTGTTTTACGTTTTTTTCCATCTTTACTTGCGGCTTCTTAAAGCTGACTGTTCTTGCAGGGGCCATGTGCTTCTCCTAGAGTACAAAAGTAAGGTCTTTCCTTACTAACTGCAGGGTCTATATATTACACCTCAATGTACACACTTTGCTGCTACTGTTTGTACTGTCTACAGTAGAATTTCCTTATCTTGCTCCTGGTAGTGCATTACAGGCAAGCATGAAATGTAAAGTATTTATTTAAATAAAAACCTCTAAATTGGTAATTGAATTACCTCCCTGTAGCTTTAGAGTTTGTGACATTTCTTGACCTTGCTAGTTCTTTCATTAGATCCATGCAAGATCTAGTCATATGGTTAAGGATATTAAGCAGACACGACTATGAACCCAAGAAACCGTATTACTGTTGGTCATACTTAAACTGTTTATTTCCTTAAGTATATGACCCACAAGGATGTGAAATAACTACAAGAAACTGTTTTTGTACACTGTACATCCTTAGTATTTTTACACGTATATGATAGGGATGCACATTATTTTCCTTCGTACAGACAGCTTAAATAAAGCACTATGTCAATCTGCTACTTCTGTGTTTTTTAATGCTAATTTGTTCTGGAGGTTTGTAAATATATATATATGTTCAAGCTTGCCACAAAGGACGTATTTTTTTATATCTGCACATTACTATTAAATATCTTAGAGGATAAAATTCCTAAGTTGTTCTGTGACAGAGGAAGAAAAACTGAAATGAGAAGGCTATATTGCAGATTACAAAAGATTTCTCAAGTTTTGGGTTAAATATTTACTTCATATTTTAAAGTAATTTTATATAGGTTAGATGTTTCAATCCTGAAATGCACAAAGAATTTACTTAATTTCTTCTTACAAGAAAATGTACATCGTTATTTTTTTATCACTGTATATATAATGATCTGTGCATGTTTAGTTACAAGTTTTATTTGCTGTGGAGTCCTAGTGATAACTGTAACTTGCTGTGACGTATTTCAAATACTGGGTGATCAGTTTCGGCTTGTAAATTATTAAGTTACAGTATTGTAAAAAAAAAGTTTTTATGACTAAGCAAGATGTATCTGTGCTTTGGACCGAGGCTGTTCCCATACAGGTGGTTCATGTTAACTCTACGAGGTGTATATCACTTGTAAAAGTAAATTTGGGTTACACTTTTGAAGCAACGATTACACAGGGCTATGTTCCTGTCAGAACACCCACAATTTAAGTGATTTTTCATCTCATGAAATCCATAGCCTTATAGCCCATAGGTAGGTGATATTCTGGAGTAAGGAATGGAAAAAGTGGGCAGGTGGGCTTCGCAGGGCACCTCGCAGTGGGACTCTTTGAAGCCCGCAAGCTGGTCCAGGGCTGTTGGAACCAGCCGGTCCGGAGGGCTGAGCGTCCCGAAAGCAGTTGGTCATCTGAGATTTTTAGTTCTGTTCTCAAGACTTGAACGCTTCCCTGGAATAGAGGGGCTTCGCCCAGGTCTCACGGGTTTTTTTCCTTGTTTTCCTCCTTTTTTTTTTTTTCTCCCCAACCTTGTAGTAGGAAAGAACATGAGACAGGCAGCCAGCCGTTAGTTCAGCAGTACTAGGAGAGGCGTGACCGGGACTCAGCTGCGGCAGCGGCGGGACTGTCCGGTTGGGTGCATCCCACATCGTGGCATCACGCTCTGGCCGCGGACGGGGGATTTCCTGGGTTTGATCGCCTGGTCTGACACTTGTAAACTTTTCAGAACATAGTGGTTTGTACCCAAATATATAAGTAAGGGTGGGGAGACATGAGACAGGTAGACAAGGTCTTGTCTGTGCTTAGTGACTAATTAATTGCTACAGAGTAGAGTAACTGCTCCAGAGAAATGGATTCCTTCTAAACTCCCAGCCTGAGACGAGTATGAAAACCTCCTTTGGCTGCACATACTCTCAGCCCAGGATGCTTTTGTGGAAACCGAACACGCACGTGCAGGGGGGTGGCAGCAGCCACCTGGTAGGTGAGGCAGACCCAGAAAGGTTGAGGGTCCAGCTGTGCCCCGGGCCGGGGCATGGCACCTCCAGGATCTCGATGAAGCCAAAGTGTTGGGACCAGGTGCCCACATTCCTTTGTGTGCGTAGCCTATAGGCACTTTCTCCTATTTAAACACAGATTTATGCTGTGGAATAATAAAAAATACATTTTTTTTTAAAAAGGCTTGCATATTCCTACATTTATACATGTATATTCTTACCTGTGTAACCATCTATAAAGTAGCGACACTTAAAAAATTGTCAGCCTGATTACTGTGGAAAACACAGAGTTCGACTAGAGAGGACTTTTTTTCATCAGGTTTTCTTGTCCTTAAAGACCTGAGGCCATTTTAAGCATCTTTATTGTCATATTGGCAAAGCAGTTCAGGGAGGCTATCAGATGTGTTTGGCAGTTTAATATGGCAGGAAATTGAAATAGGGAGGAAAAACCACTTTGATGTTAGGGCTGTAGCACTAATTCCTAAAATACAAGGGAAGGAAAGATTGTGTCCCACAGCAGTAACTTACTGCACGTGGTGTTACTCCTATTTTTGTTAAATTTTATGTGTTCATGCTGGCTGAGATAGATTTATTAATGGAGAACTGGTCTTTGTGCTTTTTTTTCCTCTTTACTAGTGCAATGCTACAACTACACTGAAGATAACGTAGAAACCTTTTTCTTATCTACTTAATCCTACAGTAGTTAGCAAAAGATTCAGGTAAATTCTTTGTGAAACAGTCTGGTATTTGGAAAGTAACTTTTAAAAGCACAAGTGTGCAGTTGACCAGAAAACAGCCCTCCAAATATTTTGAGTTCAATAATTTGAAGCCAAGTTCAGCTGCTGCCCATCCCCGAGACTGCTAAATATTTGCTGGTGCAAGAGTCTAGTATTGCTGCTCCAGTGTTGACTTAAAAGGCAAATCTGTACTAAGGGTTCCTTTCTCCTGAAGACTTTATCCAGGGAACGTTTTGAAGGGAAACCTGCTCCATGGGAATTCTTTCATGTCATATGGGATATTTCTCAATCATTCTTAATGCTCTTCTAAGTAAGATAAGTAAGGTGTTGGGACTCTCACTTCTGTCTAGAAAGTGACAAATACCTTGTAAAAGTAAAGTTCCCAGGTAGATTCTGGTAATGAGTTTATGAACAGGAGCACAGGGTGCTTGTGCAGGACGTAAAACAGTCCCCTTCTCCCTCCTTCCTGTGCACACACTTTCCCTTGAATTCAAGAGGACAGAATGAGCAAAGTAAGAATCCAGTTAGGTTTATTAGTATTTCAGTCTGTAAATAAGACATCTATGTTCAATTATACATAAAAAAATTTTATAAAAAATTGTACAAATTATGACTTAAGTCCACACTACATAATAGCTGTTAAAACAAGCCTAGTCTTTTCAGAAAAGTCTCAGCTGTCTTCCTAGGAAGTTTGGTAGGCTGGTAAGGCTTCAAAATATTGATGATTCTGTAGTTACAACCAAATAGAAACCAGCTGAAATTAGCCAGCGAGCGTGCCTGTTTTCTGCAGAGGTGTCTTTGGGTGAGCCTCAGACAAGTTTCAGCCAGGTGCAGAGCAGACCTGAAAGAAGAAAGAGATGGGAGTGTAAGTAAGTAGTCTGTATCGCGTTGCTTGTGTTTCTCATTTGTGGCACTTCAGGCTGCAGGCGAGTTCTCAGAAGAGGAACACAGAGATGGTTAATGCAATGTAAACAAGCGCTGTGCTTCCTGCTGGCCTGCTGTCCGGCCTCCTTCTAAGATCACAAGTCTTACAGGTAGCAAGAACAAGAGCTATTTGATTTCTGAAAAACAGGATCTCCATGAGCTGTAGACATCGTTCATGTTTAGCAGTAAATAACTGAGCTCTTGTTTTGGGGCACGTCTTAAGATCCTGCCCCTTCTCCTTTCCAAGAAGGAGGCGGCAGGTTTGTGCCAGAGAGTGTTTACTGTGAATTGTACAGCATGTGCACAGGGTGGGCACCTGCAGCAAAACAGGAACCTGCTGCCTGGGGGCTGGTAGGAAAGCTCTGGTGGGAAGGCTAATTCGCAGTTTCAAAGCTCTTGAATAGCTCCTGTCTGTGCTTCCTCAGTAGCACTTCAGGACTGAGTAAGAGCGAGACATCAAACTCTGCTGGAGGTGGGGGACCTTCCTAGAATATAAGGCACTGGAGTTCTAAAATTTGAATTTAAGATATGTAAATGACCTCAGAAATAAAAATAAACTTTCTACTTTGGCTGGTTTTGCATTAGAGGACTAAAGGGGTTTGGGTTTTTTTTCCCCCCTAGTTGGTAAGGAAATTAAGGCCAAGTTAAAAAAGGAGGATTTATGAAGCTGAAGTTCATTAAAGAATTAATTAAAAACACAACCATGGTACTTTTTTTCCTCCAAATCCATGCACTAACACCAACTGCTAACTTCAGCCCTGGAAAGCCTTGTGGCTTAAATTCCCAGTTAGTGACAGCCAGAGGCGCCATCCTCCATGCTGCAGTAACCCCAGCATTTGCGTACGGGCAGGGATTAAGGTGGCAAACCCCTCCCTGCACAAACACGCAGCTCCTGAAGAAGTCTCCTGGCAGTCGCTGCTGTTGTGGGTGGCTGACAGCATCCCCCACCACCCCCTTCCTGCCCGCACAGCTGCCCTTGGCCCAGCTGAGAGCCTGGCCTGTTCATGCGCTGCTCTCTCCCGGTGCTACTAAAGCGAGTCTGCCCAGCTCCAGCCCACCATAGAGATTCTCCTTTTTGGCAGCCCTTTTCTGACAGTAGCGTTTCGTACCACCAAACTTCAAAATATTTCTACCCTGGGAATGTCATATGTGCCTCTATCTCAGAAGCTGTCCTCCTCCTCTTGTCACCTACAGCCACAAAAAGCATTTTACTAGCCCTGCCTGTATGTGTGTAAGGCAGGTAGGTACCTGTCCTCCCTGAGCCCTGGGGTGCCTGTCTGTCACCACAGCTCCCCAGTGTTAATGCTTTGTGAGCTGCTGAACCTCGGCTTGATTGATGCAGTGGGCATCTCTTGCCCTGACTACAGCCTGGCCTCAACTGCTTTAAAAATAAAGCGCAAATACTGTCAGAGTCTCAGTGTACCCCACTCTGCAACAGCCCGGGTGCTAAAGCCGTCATTTGAGATGGGCAGTTCTCTAACTAAATGGACACAAAGCTGTCACTCCTAATGTCCAGGTAGTTGGCAAATGAGTTGGTTGTCGGATGTCCAGGGGCAGGGGCCTTCCCAGTCTTTTAAGTTTCTCCTCCTCCCAGGAACACGTTGGTATTCAGTGAGCAGACCTCTGCAGCACAAACTGCCCAGGTTCCTCCCACCACTACCTGCTCCCCTCACTGGCACCTGTTTTAACTGGGTGGTCAGGTATTCTTAGGTGTACAGGTTGGAAGGTTCTGTAGGAGCAGGACCATGGGCATCTGAATGAGTTCACTGCTGTTAACTATAATGGAGGGGAGAGGAACTGCTACCTCCTTGTCTTGTTAGAAAGCACTGGGGTGTTTAGGTGCTTCAATCTTCATTTGCAGAGCTGCAAAACCCAAGGGGGAGCTCTCAGGAGGACCAGGCTTAGCTCCTGAGCTGCTCCCCAGCTCTGCCCAGACACTGTAGAGGAGGTACCGGCCTCCTACAGCTGCAGATTCATAAACTCTGCAGAGCTAAGTATTAGGTGATGCAGCCCTTGAAATGTCATGACAAGGCAGTCAGACACCAAACAGAGGTCTACCTGTATCCACTCTGGTCATAGTATAATTCATAGTCTCTGACTAAGCTCCAGCCAAGGAGTACTAAAGACTTTCTTTTCACCTGCTTAAAAACAAACCAAAACGAAATAAAAAAACAACCACCAACCCTGTTACAAACACCTGGCAGATGCACTACTTCTGTGTGTTTAGACTACATTAGAAAAAAGCTCTTTCCCCACTAACCTTATGCAGTCTTCAGGTCTCCTAAAAACCAGTTGAGGGCCATGTAAGGGTCAGCCCAAATCACTCCTGACAACAGAGACAGATGAGCTACATGTTTTCTGGACATAAAGCTCCCCTTCTGTAACATACAGTGAAAAAACAAGCAAATGGGGCACCTGGGAGCACGTCACGCACTGCATTCATTGCTGGGACCTCACTGAAAATTCCTGATGTAAGAAAACCACGGCTCAGCAACAGCTGTAATTCTGACAGTACCTCTCACTGAGCGACTAGAAGGACAAGGATGGAAATATAGTTGCGGGTGAGTATATTTTAACTTCTGTTTAGAAGAAGGGCCGTCTGTTCACAGATATGCTCACCATTACCCATAATGAGGGAGGTGATAGTTTCAGCAGCTCAGCCCTCCAGAGAGCACAGGGAGCTGCTGGGGAAGGGCTGGCTTGCAGGAGGGGATCTTCAGGGGGAAAGGCAGAGCAGCAGCGCAGGACACCGGCCATAGCTGGAGGTAATCCCCAGGGGCTGAGAGCCCTGTCAGAGAACCCCCTCCGGCAGCCCCGGCCTTCAAGGGGATTACCGACCAGGACAAACACTTCCATCCAACTGATGGACACCAAGGCAGAGCCTGCAAGTGAGGAACATTCCAGCTTTCAGAGCACACTTGTACTGGGTGACCAGCACTGAGGTCTCCAGAAATCTCAGTTTAGATGTTGGTTTGTTATACTATGCACATTTGTGTTTAGTAACTATATAGGAGGGGAGCTAAATAACTCTTATCCTCTTGACTTGTAGTGAGTTGCAATGTAAGAAAGTCTTTCAGAAGTAGAAACTAAAACCAGAGGTGAAATCCCACAATTAAACTTTTGACTACCTTGACATGGATTAATTATTAGTGCCAGCTATTAAATATTAGTGTAATGGCCTGATACACACTCCATGCTGTAAGGCCAGGCCACGTTACCATACAGGTCCTTTTTAGCTCTGTGAAAATGAAAATTATAGTATGAACGTCTTCATCATGTTGTAGGCAGGTGGTTATTCTGAAATAATACTGAGCTGCTTTCAGTAATAGGAGATTTAACATTATTATTTTAAAAGCACGTAATTCACTGCTGAGAATGAGAAGATGTTTCTGAAAGCTATGGTACTCATCTTGGTTACTCCTTCAACAAGAAAACTAAAAGCCTTTTAACTTCGTGTTGCCTGTAAGGGAATTCAGCACACAGCAGTATCAGGTGTTTCTTTTATGATGCTTTTTTTTCTTTTTTTTCTTTTTTTTTTTTTTTCATTCACTGTAAAAGCCAGAATTTTCCTTACAGCATCAAATGAGTTTTCCATGAAAAACAGACTTTTAACACACCAGAATGTAGCTGGATTTAAAGACATCTTTTTTTTTTTTTTTCTCTTTCTTTCTTCCTTCCTTCCCTCCCCTCCCCAAGCAAACACTAACATTAGAAACAAAAATTGCAGTGGTAGTAACCTGAATTTTGAAGTTTATTTGTTTGTCAATGCTTTTTTTTTTTTTTTTTTTTTTTTTTTTCCCCTCTGGGTCAGGTAGATCAAAATAAATCATGCAGTTTTAAAATCTGTAACTTTCATAGTTAAACTCCCCAAAAGTAACTCTTACAAGGAAATAGGCACAGCTATAACTATGTAGCAGTACTGTAACTCCAACAGCACTGCTCCAAATACAATTATTTGTGTTTCCTTCAACATGACACTAAGTTTTATGATTTATTACAGAACACATTGTAGCCTTTGTGAAGAACTAGATTCTGCTACCTCAGAAGGAAAATATTACTGGAAGAGACAAAACTAACCAATTCCAAATCAAAAGATCTGGATAATCACCCAGTGATATCACCCAGTAATTTTTGGTTTGGATAAACACCCAGTGATCCAGACCAAAAAAGTATCTATGGTAAAATCTGAGTTTTTCTAGAAGTTCCCACCTTGCTAAGAGTGACATGTCCCCCCTTTCCCTCCAATTTAAATCTTTAAGATTTTTTTTTTTAATTCTGTCATGTAAACCTGTCTTTGCTGAGAAATGCTTGTCCTAAATTTTTAAGTTCTTAAAAAAAAAACAAACACAAAAAGCTCCCAACAACTTCAAACCCAAAAATGTTTCAAACACTTTCTTCTCCCTTTTGTCTTGAAGTGTTTGCCAGATTCAACCCACATCTGCAAATAGTTTTATTCCTTCTTTCCTCTCCCTCCCCTCTCTCTATATATAGGATATAGAAAAAATACCTACTTCTGCTCATTTCTCTTTATCCATCCAGGTTTTTACTTGATTCCATCTGTGTCCTGTTTGAGATCTGCATCCCATTTTTTTTCCTGAAATATGCAACTGCAGTTACTAGCGGCTTACGTTCCAAGATACAATAACACATAGTGTGTTTTACATCATTTTTCAAAGATTGGGTACAACTTGTTTCTTCCCCCTTCACCCCCAACTGATTATAAAGGAAAACTGTTGAACAATACAGCAAAATGTGGAATATGATGTCACTTTCACCTTTGATCAACACTAATTCTGCATATGATTTTTAAAAAAATATATATTTCTAGACTCATCTTTCTGTAGTTAAAATCTCCTATTTATGGCGAACTTTTCTTCAGTTTTCTTAAACCAATTGTCTGATATTCCAGGCAGCTCTTTAGGGCTGAATTCCAATTCCCAGAGAACCATCGTTGCTTTAAATAGCTGCAAATAGATTTTTAGGATTCATTTTGTAATAATTTTTTTATATCATTCTTCTCTTCTGAGTGTTCTCAAGTTAAAAAGTATCCTCTGGAGCACAATTAACTTGTAATAAACATAAAGGAGGAAGCTTTTGCCAGTGAAGTCTTGATAGCAGTATAATATCTGAATGATTTTTTCCTCTTTTGTATCATTTTTGTACTTCTGCCCATCTTCATAAAAGCACACTTGCTTCCAGATAAAATAGATTATCAATAACAAAATCCCAGTGGACCATGTAAAGTCATTACCAAGACTGCTTCCCTTAAACCAGAAATTTTAACTTTCTTTTCTGAACAACCACCTCCTTAAACTATCTTTTAGACAGAGCACTATGGTTGCCCTGAAATTTGCCAGTAGGTACTGCATGCTGATACCCTTACACTATCTTGAGCTACCAGGTTTGTCTACTACAGTAGGAAATCCTGTAAAACCAAACACACTGACATGATTAAAGGCATAATAAAGTACGGATTTTATTCTCCTAGGTTAAACATTTACTAAATTCTACAGCTAAAAAGCCTATGAAAAACAGTATGATTTAAATATTTTAAAGTTCTGTTTACTGCTAGGTGTGCTACTGGCCTATATTTCCTACACTGCATGTCTTTTGTTATCTTGTTAACAGAATTCCAGTCACCCTGGGCAAACTCACTAGTTTGCAAGTTAGAAAACGTCATGCTACGGTTGAAAAAGTTCATTTACTTGGTCACAGAACAAGAGTTTGATTATTTGATAGCTTTACTGAAAGTCTCATTCTATGCTTGTTACTTCTCCCCCTTTTTCTGAAACACGTTTGAAAGACAAAGACCATGCAGCCCTCTCCCTTATTTCCAAAGCACCAACTGACTGAAGAACAGTGGTCAAAAAAAAAAAAAAGCAACAGTCAGTCCTGCTACAGATACAGTGCAGTGATTCGTGCTTGGGCAGACTGGTTCACATTCACCATCTCACACTTGGTTGAGTGGTCATGGAGCACCAGGAAAGCTAAATGACTTTTAAAAATAAGGGGGGGAAAAAAAATTGCAAAGCGGGCTTAAGTCTGACAAATATCAGTAAAAAGCTCAAAGAAATTATCAACATCAAGCTACTGTTTAAACGTTAATGCTGTTAAAAGAACAGATTTCCCTTTTCTCTAAAAAAGGAACACAAAATCTTCTGATAAGAAAGCTATGAAATGTCACCAAGAATAACTTCTGCTGGTTTACTGTCGCTTCAAAACACTTTCTTCATTTAGTTTAGGTTTAAGTGAGACTCAGGCCCAGCTACCAGTCTCTTTCCAATTGCATGGATTTTTATTTTTTGTAAGGTAATGCCTTATTTAAAGCAACAACAGCAACAAAATCCAACAGCTGAAATGAGACTGCTGGCAGATTTCTCTGCTAAAGCTGCAGAATATTCCCCTCAGACTTGCTTTTCTTTTGGCACAGTACCTGTGTTCGCAGAAACTGCACCTCTTCTGTAAGCAGCTGCTTCTCTTTGAAGAGCTGATTCTGTTTGTTGAGCAACTCCACTAACTGCTGGGCAGTGGCCTGGCAGTGCTTGTCAAGCTGCTGTAACCTGGAAAAAAATAGATAAAAGGGTTGCAGAGCATCTGAAGTTGGAGTTCATGGTAGAAACTTTGATGTTTGCACTGGCGGGTGCAGCTCCCAGATGACAGAGCTCAGTCTGGTGGTTGGGCTGAGAATAAAGTATTACTCCTAGAGCGGGCAGTCAATATATTTTATCTTCACACTTTAAAATGAGCACTTTTAAAGGTTTGCACTTCTAATTTAGAAGTTTATCATGACATGACAGCAAATTTGCTTTGCCAATGTCATCACTAAAGACTGCAGGGCTGCATTCCGACACCTGTAGCTAAGCAAGCTGCACACTCTAGCTCCTTCAATAACCGTCTTCCTGAAACACACACTAGCCCAGATTATGAATCCAAATGCCCCAGCCCCTGGATGAACTGGACCTGAAGCGACAACATTTTTGTTTTCCGTCCACTGCTCTTTGGAACCCAGACAATGTCCAAAACTTGTTACAGAACACATTTCAAGTAAGCTTAGGGTTGATTAAGCATGTCAGTGTAGATTCTTTAACAGTGTAACAGGGATCCCTGGGAAAGGATGCAAAGAGCCCATAACTCCACAGGTCCTCCTCATCAGGGGCTGCAGAACAGAGGGAACAAGCTGGCAGGTATCAGAAGGAACACACAGAGGCCTTTTGCTTACACTTGAGAAACAAATGCCTGAGAAGGGACAACACTGCTGTAGATAGGGCAGCTGCACCTTTACTTCTTCAATTACAACAGCCACTACAGCTTGCTATGTTCCCAGTGACTGTTTATGACTCCAGCCAAGAAAAATTTCTAAAGTCTGCCTAGGGCCTGTAGTGTGGGACGTAAACATGTCCCAGGAAGCTGGAAATTGTGTTTTTACATTAAATGCATTTCACTCTTTAAATAGAAATATCTTTAATTGGAAGTCCTTTCGGATATCTTAGAAGCCTCTGTTTTTTAAATAACAGTACTCTAGAGAAAAACCTACGCATCTAAACACTATGAAGTTAGGGAGCATGAACCAACTCTGTTTTTGTCAAGGTTAGTTCTAGATCTAAACTTTGCACTTGTTTTTTTAAAACTATTTCTGGCTCAACATGTGATTTTCTCTCTACTTTCAGCTCCATGTGGTAATTTTGACTTGTACAGCTGTTAATAACGCAGCTAAACTAATCACTCGGAATATCCACATTCTTAATAGGGATTGTTAAATAACTGCGTTATTAAACACCCCCAAATTTCTTGATAAAAAGCTTGGAAAATCTAGCTAAAACAAAATTGAAAAAAATCTACATCAAAATCAGTATTTACTGATCTGTATCTGCCAACCAACTTCCTTGAAATCAAACTGCAACAATCATGTAGCAAACACTGAACACCCATATTTCATGAGTGTCGTGTTACTCTGTAATGTTTCCTTGAAAAAGAGATTTAAGGAGCTGCAGGACCATCTCCTGGGGATCAGATCAAAACTAAATGCAGCTAGCTGCAAACAGCGACAGCTGGTTGTAAACGTCCAATGAAGCAAAGAAAATCACCACTTTGATAGGATAGGATAGTTTACTAAATATAAACCTAAGGCACTCTGGATCTATTTTCACACCCCCTATACCTTTATAGCTATATTATTTCTATATATTTATACCTATACCCAAGCTGGTATAGGGGCTGTTTATGCTTCATTTCTTTACTAAAGGTGATTTCAGGGGTGTTAAACTTCAAAAAACAAAGCAAAACTCCCCTTACACAAACCCACGCTTGTACTGGTTTTTGTTTTGTTTTTAAAGCTAGTAGCTTTTGCATTAACATCTTGGTCCCAGGGAGTGCAGGAACAAGGGTGGCGGGTGCTGGAGGCAATGTTGTAGTTTCCGACTGGAGCACTGAGTTCTGCCTGCTACTTTGTCATTGATTTCCTTTAACCTGAGGAGGGTATGTGACCTTACTGCACTTCTTAATTTCTAATAAAGACATCTTCCAGTCCTTTATTTCTGGAGTACTTACTACTTTATAGCAGGACTGGTAGGAAGGTGTAACTGGGAAGTGCTGTCTTCAGCAGCCAAGAGAACTCCAGTGCTGTTCTACCTATTTAAAGCCTTGAGGCTATGAAATCCTCAATCACAAGAGCCTGACTCTACAACTACCAACTACAGTCTGGTTTCAGGCCCTTAGAATTTAAGTTTCTGCTAATTTCTACATTCAATTAATAATCTTCCCATTCTGCTAGTCTGTTTTAAGTACAATCATATGGCCTTTGAGAGACCCACTTGCACAAAATTATTACTACTGGCAGCTAAAGACATAGGGAAGTATATCAATTCCCTTGACCCACATCTCTGCAGCAACACAAAGAGCGGTGCCCATCGCTGTGGTAGGGCCCGATCCAGCTGCAAGAGTGAAGCAGCTCCGAGGAGAGGCCTTTCCCAGGCGTGCCTCTCCTCTCACAGGGAGGAGGCTCCAGCTGAAGAGCCACCACTTCAGTGTGAGGAACTTCCTCCAGTTCTGGCACCCAGAGAGAAGTCATTTCCAGCTCATGTGAATTTTACGTCAAAACAACACTTTCTACTAGATACTCACAGGCAGCCCATGCAAATTTCAAAAACATTACTGGATACAAGCCTTAGCGCACTTTATTGTAAAGCTCTATAGCCTTTCAGATCATGCAAAGGGTGATTCAGATCAACTACTGTAAATAGAAAAGTCTTTAATTATGGCAATACTACTCAATTATGCTTTTCTGTTTTGTAACTTCACCACCCACCATATTTCATTTAGACTGTCCCCTTGAGCAGAGGGAGAGAGATGACAGAGGCACTGGGCTGGGTTTTTGACCAGCAGGCCACAACTTTACTTTTATCTTCTGTATCCATCTCCAGTGCTTGAGTAGAGGGTTAATAACATTCCTTTCTGCAATTCTGGGTCATGATGGATAAAGAGGGAGTAGGTCTAGTCAGTGCAGATCTTGGTCTGTGACTTTTCAAATCCTGTCTACTGGTCTGCTCTCCCAAAACTGCTGCCAAGCTGGCCCTTGGTCCACACGCTGGGACTACCAGCGTGCTCCATTGCATTTAGCTCCCGAGGACAGGCTCTGGGCCCTCTCACAGTCTCTGCTATTATGTGTGACATGTGCAGCACAGCCACACATTCCCATATGCATTGTATCTGGCCTGCCTGCTGATCTCGTAAATGATTCAAGATGAGAAATGAACAGCTCCACCCACATTCACTGTACTTCCCATATGTTACAACTGCACATCGATGCCTGCCATCATTTTTACAACTGGGTGACAGAACCTTCTGCACATTTTGCTAATATGAGTGAGTGAGGTTGCACGGTCGCCACGTTCACTTTGGCAACACCAACTACCAGGCAAACGTGTACTGCGTCCTGAGCATCTGAGTGACCACTGTATCCTCGCCCTCCATTCCAAATGAAACCATTTTTCCACCAAAGTGGCAAGATCTGTCCAGTTGGGATGTTGGGCGGCTGCTCCTCCTTGGCCTGGGAGTGCTGAAGGACAGGAACTGACTCCACACTTTGTCATGTTACTTTAAGGCACAAGGTGAAGACATGAAGCTCTTGAACCATGTTACGTTTGGACTACTTACAGGACAACCTGGCACTAAGGAGTAAGTTCCTATGTAGCAGTAATAATAATATTCTTCAAAGAGTTTTCCAATAACCACTTAAACAAAAAAATCCTGTTTCTATATGGAGGCAGAAAAGCGGCAGTTTCATGAAACAAGTGGTTCCACAAAAGAAGAGCAGAACTGAAGCATCATAAGCTGTAATGAATGCTTCAAGGTAAATGTTTTGCTCTGATTCTCAGCATTTGGAGCTTGTATGCAGCTTTATGTTAGGATGGCTCCAAGCTACTTTGCTACTTTGTGCAGCTACAACCTGCAGAACACTACATCTCTCACACCATAGAGCAGTAAAATCTGGATCTGAGACTAGGCTATACCCTAGCCTGTCCAGAAATGACGTGGAAATGGATATTTAAGTTTTGTTACATTTTGACAGCTACGGGTAGACAACCACTGCAAGAACCCGCTGAAACTAGGTGAAACATCAAACGAAGCAGAGTTCTAGCACTAAGGTGAATCCCACCCAGCAGGATAAACTTCCATTGCACCCAACACCATCCAAAAAACCTGGACTAGTACCCACCATGTTACATTTAGATTGTCCCCTTGTCTGTGGCCTACAGACAAACCCAAATGCTTCCTTGTTTTCTGTAAAGACACATTGCTAATGCAGGGGCACCCACGAGGCTCTCGCTGCAAGCTCCCTGCCCTGGGGGACTCACAGCTCCGTTAATCCGCAGGCAATCCGCAGTGAAGGGAAAAGCTGATACAACCTGTCAGTTCTCCTCTGGGTTTTAAAGTTGATTTGACAGAAATTAATATGCAAGGGTCTGTGGGCAGTGTCCATCCACTCAGCAGTGGGGATAAGTCCTTGACATAGCAGAGGCATTAAAAGGTTATTTACTCTTTCAGTAGTCAGGTTACTGATGTAAAACGTGTTCACTCTACTCCACGGAGCTGAATTTGCTGAAATGGCGTGATTGGATTGCAGCAACCTGCAGCAGCTAAATCACCAAATCCAATAACCATGCTGCATTTACTGGCACACATCTTAATTAGGTTTTAATACAAGTAATCTGATAACTACTTCTGGCCAGCCAGAGCAGAGCTGTCAGAGCTGAAAGGGCTGTTATTGAGCGGCTCGTCCGGTGCGCTGCTGCGGCCGCCTCCCCGCTGACCCCGCCGAAGCCCCCCATCTGCCCGTTGCCATGGTAACAGAGGGCAGCCCATCGCGCCGAGCCGCGCCAGCGGCCGACACAGACGCCAGACCGGGTGTCGCTGCCTCCGGGTACCCCGCGGCAAGGCCCGGGGCGCCGGCTGCCCATGGGGGCCACCCGCTGCCCATGGGGGCCACCAGCACCAAGGCCGCAGCTCTGTGGGTGAGGAGCTGCCGGGGCACGGTTCCCGCTGCCCCTCAAAACTACCAAAA